AAATATGAGGCTTTTTTCCCCTTAGTGCTTTTTCATGATTTCTAACGGAATTACATTTTGGTCAGTCAACATGATTTGCATGATGCCAACCTTTAAAATTCACTGAAATTTTATTTATAGCCCAGTATGCTATCATGTTTTTAATGTGCCTGGGAATAGTCTCATCTTCATTTAATGTTAGTATTTCCTGTGTGTCTGTTTTAACAATCTTGTTAACTCTTTAAATTTTCTATAATATGTACGTGTGTGTGTGTGTGTGTGTGTGTGTGTGTGTGTAGTCTGCTCTATTAGTAACTAAGAACTATATGTTAAAGTCATCTGCTGTGATGGTGAAATTATATGTTTCTCTGTATTATGTAGCAACTATTAATCTTTAATAATGCATTTTGCTTTAAAAATCTTTCTTGTGTTGGGCCTCCCCGGTGGTGCAGCGGTTGAGCGCTGGGTTGCGAAGCTGCCCGCAGCCTCTGCAGTGCCAGTTTGATCCCCGGCTGCTCCCTGGCCACCGGAGGAGGGTCCCACATGGCGCGCAGACCTCTCCTGCCGCCCGCTGCTCCCCTCAGCAGTGTGCTTCGGTCCTTCTGCCTGCTCTGCTCCCGCTGTGGCTCTGGTGGGTTCTCTCACCCTCCTGCGCTTCTGACTGTACCCAGTGCTTTTATAAATAAATAAAATAAATAAATAAATCTTAAATAAATAAATAAATAAATAAATAAAAATCTTTCTTGTCCGATATTAATGTAAGTACATGAGCTTTCTTTTTATTAGTAATATTACATGTTCTTTCCATTCTTTCACTTTTGGCCCTTTTGAATCCATGTTTTAGATACATTTTTTGTAAATACCAGTGGTTGGATTTTTTAAACTCCAATCTTATATTCTCCTGTCTTTTAAGTGGAACATTTGGTCCATTTACATTTATTATGGTGGCTAATATTTTGAATTTATTTCCATTTTGCACTCTGTATCTCAGATTTACCTTCTGGAATTTGTTTTCTTTAACTTGAAGCAGATCATGTAGCATATGAAGACCTTTCCTTATGAAGACCTTCTTGTGGCAGACTCACTGTCCTTCCCCACCCCACTGGAAAATGTCTTTAATTTACCACATTCTTAATGGTTTATTTTGAGTATTCAGTTCTATAGTATCAGTTGTTTTCCTTTAGTAATTGAAGATACTATTTCATTGACTTGAATATTTCATTGCTGTGTTTTAAGAGTCAGTGGTTATCTAATTTTTGTTTGCTTTTGAAATCTGTTTGCCTCTGCCCCAATTTCTTCTCTCCTTCTGATTTCTTAATTTTTCTTTGTCTTTTAGACTCTTTAGTCATATTTTCACCCTTCTTTAAAAAAAGTCTTTGAGCATTTGATTCTGCTATCCATTGTTTCAACTGGTTTTTACTTTTGTTATGATTTCTATCTACAAACTCGTGTTTTTGAGACCTAAGAGCAAAATGGATGCATCCAAAGATTATTTGCTTTTGCTTCCATCAGGTATCTACACTCTGCACACTACAACTCTGATGCCCTATGAAAATAATTCTCAGCCCACTTAGTTATGAATAAGGGCAGAAAGCCCATGTGAGGGCTGCTTTACACTTGTGAAATATCAAGGGTATCTTCTGTTCTCTCCCACTCAGTTACAAGGTTCATGACAGAATATACCTGGAGCTACAGATATATTCCTAATTCAGCCTTTCACTGGGATTGTAGTGCTTTGTGGTTTCAGCTTTATCTCCCTACAGAGAGTTAAAATCCTCATCTTTGGTGGATTTGGGGCTTTTCCGATTGTTCTCATACTCAGCAACCCCATGAGGCTATGAAGAGTGAAACTCAAGTTTATCTGGTTTAGCAACTATCTTCAGCTTACTCCTTTGAGATGTTGTTTTCATTCATTTTGCCAGGAATACAGGAATAGTTTTCTTTCTTTTTTTTTTTTTTTTTTTTGCTGACTCATGGATTCATTTAAAATAATATTTCCCCCTTGCTATTTAACCCAGCATTTTTAGTTGCTTTCTGTGAGAGGGGGCAGTGGTGGCACCTAGCCTTCCCTATGCTGGAAATGAAAGTCTAGATTGTCATTTAGTCTCCCTGGCACACAGCATTCCATTGTATTTTTATGCTAACAATACTTAATCAGAAGTAACAATCATTTGATTTTTAAAAATTATAATTTTAACTACCAGTTAAAAATTTTTTGTCTAGTTGAAAATGATAGATAACTTTAAGAAATTGTTCACATGAAAATATAAATGGAATTTTGCTATTTTTAACCATGGAGAAGAGGAAGTAACTAAACCAGTAAGGGAGAGTATCTTGTTATTTTATGCTTTTGACAAAATTAGAAACTTATAATTTCTTAAAAACTGGCTTGGTGCTACAGTGAGCAATTACTGTTTTTGGAATACATACACTGTTTTTCTTTTTAAAATATAATTATAATAGCTATTGATTTAATTATTAACAGCTGGGGTAATGAAATCTGGATAACACTGAAAGAACATACATTTTTTAGGGGAAAGCTTCATGAATCGACTTATTATTACAACTTGGGGTGAACTGTAATAACTTCTGTAGCCTCAGTTTTTCTACATGAAGTCCTAGAGACTGCTGGAACCTAAAATCAATAACAAGAATGTGTTATGTTTGTTTTTCTTGGTTTCTAGTAAGATGATGGAAGACTAGAACTTTGTTTCTAGTTTATGTTGAAAAGTTATTTTCTATGGTTATACATAAACTGTACCTCTAAAATATCAATTAGAACATCTTACTGACAATCAGAAATTCTCCGTAGTAGTTTAGATTTATGAGAACAAAAAGGAAGCAGCTACATAAAAAATAATTCAGATAGGGTCTTCAGTGTTATTGTAGCTACTGCTAAGCCAAAAATGAAGTTTATTTAGAAAATCATTCTTTCAAAGTATATTTCACTTTTAGTTCCAATAACATTGTACCATACCAAAAATACTTAGGGAAACTTTATTTTTTTTATGCCTCTTTAGAAGAAGAAGACTGAAAATAAATTATTTCTCCAATTACTCTTTTGTATTCAAGACTGGGTTTAAAAAAGGAGGGCTGAAAAAAAAAAGGGGGGGGGAGGGCTACTTTAAAGTAGCCAAATTGCTTATATCAAAATAAGCCGGTGTAAATTTCATAGGGGGAGGATGTTAGATATTTATATCTGCATTATATCTACATAATACCATAATTTTCTAGATGGGTTAAATACTTAAAAAGAAAAAACAAAACTGCTATATTATATAGGAGAACATTGTTACACATTTTTAGGATGAGAAGGGAGTTTCTGTGTGGTACTCAAGACAAAAATTGTAAGGCTTATGACAAACTATGGGTACCAAAACCAATAACAAGAAGCTCTACATATAATGAGTTACTGCTGTTAATACATAAACTCCTAAAGTCCCCAGGAAACAGGATTGTAATAGGAGAAACAACAGCCATGAGCAAGCTGTTTAAAAGTTAAAGACTTTTTTTTTTTTAAAAAAAGCTCAGTTTTACAGTTAAAAAAAAAAGCAAAGTATAAGCCAAATGTCATTGATGACAAATCAAATAGGTAAACCTTTCAAAAGATAATAATCACAATTGTTCAAGTTCTGGAAAATTGACTATAATTGTTGGTAGCATTTAGATTTGGAACAGCTTTTCTAGAGTGTAATTTGGTGTGAACTATGTAAATGTATAGGAATTTATTCCAAGGAAATAAATGAATATATGCACAACGATGCACATTTAAGAATATTCTTTGTAGTTTGCTTTATTTAGTACATGAAAAACTGGGTGTAGTTTAATGTCCAGAATGACACTGTGGTTGATTTAAAAAAAAACTGCTCTTTCCTACAATGGAATATTGATGTCTTAAGTAGCAAAACTGTTGCCTCTGAGAAAATTGAGGCTCTGAAATGTGTGTTTGCCCGTCCAAAGTCACAGAACTGGTAAGTGAAGGAGCAGGACTCATCACAGATATGTCTGTCATCAACTCCCATTCTCTTTGTCAACAATCATGTTGAATGAGTATGTTGAAAATATTTGATACACTATCTGCCAAATCCCTACATCTAGTGTAAATTAAAATATATGAAGGGGCCTCCCTGGTGGCCTAAGTGTTGAGTATGTACACTATGGCACAGCATACTTCTCCTATCTTGCCCGCTGCTCCCCTCAACAGTGTGTTTCAGTCGATCTGCCTGTTTTGGTCCCTACTCTGTCTCTGGTGAATCCTCTCACTCCCCCAAACCTCTGGCCTACACCCCAATTCTTCTCCAAAATAAATATTTTTAAAAGTTATGTGAAAAAACATTTTCAGGTTTATTGAACAATTTCAGGTTTTGAGTTTAAGATAACATTTGCTATTTTAAATTTAGTACAAGGGTTTTGGCCAACTAGCAGTTCTTTATTGACATTATTTATCACTTAGATGAAAGAATAGATTTAGACATATCTTAGATTAATGACTCCATTTAATATTTTCCATTTTAATAATTTTCCATTATAATATTAATTTGTGATAATTATGTTTTTTACTAGTTGAATTAATGTTTAACTAAACTCATTTCATTTTTTTCTTTCCTAAGAATTTTCTTGTTCACATTGAAAAAAAAATCTGTTAGACGATGTATACTAACATAACACATTGAGAAAAGATGTCAACTTTGTATACTCCAAAATCACCTGGTTTTTCATTTAGAAGAATGAGATGCAGAGCAATTTTTCCTTTTTCCATAAACCCTCATACCTAGACAAAAATAAGTAAAGCTTATAAATAAAATCAAGGTGACTGTTGGTTTAAGTTGTAAGAGATGGTTAAATGACTTGATTTTTTTCCCTAAAATTTAGCATCAGGCTAGGAATAAATTAGGAATAAAGATCAGCTTGATCTTTATAACTTATGGCTTTGTTATATAATGATGTGAAATTCTTATATTTTACATATTGATGAAATAAGAAATGTCTCTCATTGTTAAAACTGTATTTTGGATATGCAGCTCACTGTTAATGAAGCTGCCGCTCAACTCTGTGTGAAGGATAATGCCCTGCTGACAAGAAGAGATGAACTTTTTGCCCTGGCTAGGCAGATTTCTCGAGAAGTCACCTATAAATATACTTACAGAACCACCAAGTAAGTGTTTTGCATTGCTTGATAGAAATAGAGCTTGAAACACTATCCATTCATAGAATATAAGCGTTTCTGAAAAAGTAGAAGTGTGATTATAGTTCTTTAAAATTAAAACATGAAGTAACTTTTCAAAGCTACTGCAAATGTGGTTTTTGTTGTTTTGTTTTATTCTCTTTTGTCTGTCTTTTAAAAAACATTGTTTCCTGGCATTATTACATTGTTCTGGTTGGTTTGGTTTGGTTTGGTTTGGTTTTGAGAATGGAGATGAGATTTTGTTAGTCAGCACTTACAAACTTACTGTACACTAGGTATATGAACTTGTTGAACTCTCTGAAGAAGCAAAGTGGTTCCCTTTGAAAGGTGTTTTTACACTCTAGTGAGGTTAGCTGAAAGGTAAAAAAAAAAGATACACTGACTTGACTACTAGCAAGCGAACGTGAAACATGCTTTTGAAATAAAAACATAATATTGAAAAGCAATGATGATTTTAAAATTTACTGTAAACACCATATTTTTTTTTAAGATTTATTTTTATGTATGCATACAAGAACTGGGGTGTGGGGGAGGGGGGTGTGGTGAGAGGATTTACCAGAGACAGAAAAACACACAATTTATTGTTCATTTTATTCTCATTTGAACCCTAAACCTGTCTGTGAGTACAGACTATTTTGATTTTGTTCATTGGTTGCACGTGGACCCCAGTTTCCTGCACACCATGAGTTGTGCTTGTCACAGCTGAGTGGGTGCAGATTGACCATTTGCCTTAAAGTAACTGAGTGTTGTTGAAAATCCACCTCCTAAGCACCCTCCCCAGCCCTAATAAATCACATCCTCTGGGGATGGAGTCTTGGAATCCAAACTTTCACAAGCACCCCAGATGATTCTTGTGCATATTCAAGTTTGAAAACCACCATAAATGCATTTGCTGTTATCACCATTATTTTCCTAACTTAAAGTGCCTTGTTTTCTATCATATTTAGAGCCTCTGTATTTAGAAACTGACGAGTAAAATTACAGCCACTGAATGAAAAGTAAGAATATATAGCAACATTGTAAGATTATTTGCAAGAAAAGGAGTTGGGTAATCAAGAACTAATTTAGTAATTTTTCATTTTCTTCACCGTATTATACAACATTTTCTTTCCGAGTACTTTATTTCAATAATTTTCTTTAAACAAAGTAATACAGGTACATGAATTAAGAGTCCCTAAAGGACACAAACCTTATAATGAAACTCAGCAGTTTCCTTGCCCTATTCCCTCCCCATTCTGAATTTCATGCCCTAGAAGCAGTTGCTTTCAACATATTTTAGCATTTCCTCTAATATTTAGATTCATATTGATTTTTAAATTTTAATATATTTTTAAATACATGACACTTTTACATAATGTAGATGCCAAAATAATGTAAACAGATAATACAAAAATGTCCTTTTTTTATCCTGTTCTTCTCCACTTTAGACAGTTTTATTTGTTTAGTGATTATAGTTTTCCTTCAGAATTTATTTATACACATGCAATTATAAATATATTTTCTCATTTTCTTCAAAAATAATATGTAAGAAGCACATTTTTCTGTATTTTGCTTTTATTTTAACATGTCTTAGAGATCTCACTATATTAGTCAGTATACAGCTTTCTTATTCTTTTATTTTTTAGTAGCTGCATGATACTCCATTATATGGATATACCATGATTCATTTAACCAGTCCCCTATTGATGGGCTACTGGAGTTTTTCCTAGTCTTTTGTCATTATATACCGCCTTAATAATAACATCATACATATCACACTTTTTTTCATTCTGAGATGTATTTTCACATTTTAACATCTTCTATGTTAAGTTATATGTAACTTAAAATTGATGGCTTTTCATAGTTTAATTGGCAGTTGTATTTCATATATGTGTAGATTCCACTGTTGGATAGTTTTTCAGGAAAGGGATCACTACATAAAGGGAAAATGCATCTGTAGTTTCAATATACAAACAAATATATTTTAATCTAATGTGACCTTAAGCATTTATATGGTCATTTTTGTCATTTTATCCTGATGCGCCTACTGATCCATAAAGATGTGTCGGACTAAATCTTCTTGACTTTTTTCCTTTTCTATTAAGTGATAATCATTACCTATTTTCTGAGAAATTCTGTATGGAGATTCCTTAGATAGTGACTTTTAGGTAGTGACTTAAAATATATAGTATAATTGTGTCTGCGTTATTTCCCTAATGTTAATTTAGAAATAATGAAAAGTTTCATTTTTATTGTTCACATTCATTGTGAATTTCTTGTTTCTGGTGTCAGGATTTCAGGATGTTGTATTTGGTGGAAGTTTATAGATTGAAATGCCTTTTGTATAAAATTTGTTACCTTCTCAGAGGTTATTACTCTCTTATTCCCCTCAGGTCAAAATGTGGAGAAAGAGATGAATTATCCCCGAAGAGAATTAAAGTGGAGGTAAGAATAAATATCATATTTTCTTTTGCTGATACTTGCTTATTAATTGAATCTAAAATAAAAGTGTGATCCATAAACTTTATTAAAAAAAAGTGAATTATAGAATTTTTAAATACATAGAATTTGTTGCTTTGACGTATTTATAGTAATTTGAACTGAGGATACTAAGAATGTTTTTAGTAGAATGATGAGATTAATGTCCAATCACTTTATCAAAAGTTTATTTGTAAATTCTGTTTTACAGTTTTAATGTTCTAGTGATTAAAATATATCTCTTATAATCTTATTTAAGTCATTGGTCACCTTCTCAAATACATTCAGAGGAGCTAAAATTTAATTAACTTTATATTAAATATAAGAGAGAAATGATAATTTAGCTTGAAATTACAGAGACCTTACTGTAATTAAAATCTATTTTAGAGGATTATGGTTGAGATACTCTTGATTTGAGACCTATAGGTGGTAAGTGGAATTAAGCAAGGAAAATGTGCTTTTTATTAGCGCTCCCAGAACTATAGAATGGCTTCAGAACTACTACTGTTGCTTTGTTTGGATTGAACACATTTTTAAAGGCTAGTCTGCCAGTGGAGAAATTTGAAATTCTACTGATCCATGTTCCTCCTTTCTTTGTTCTGTTTTGTTTGTTTGTTTGTTTGGATGGGGGTGTGTGGATTGGTACTCTCTTAGCCACCCATTATTTAATTTCATAATGCTTTCAGTTAAAGCCAGTAAACTATGTTTGACTGCCCTAAATTTCCATTATCAAATTATTCTTAGCACCTGTGCTATCTATATGAAATAATCTTTCATATCAAAGCTGAAGTTACAAATACATAAATCCCTTTCTTGGCTAAATCTTTCCAATAGCTTTCTACTGTACATAGATTAAAATCTACACTTTTTCCTGAGGCATCTAAGACACTACATAATCTAACTATGGCTTGCATCTCTAACATTGTCTGCTAGTATATTTCCCATTCTTACTGTGACTCAGCTTCGCTCACCAACTTTCTCTTCCTGGAAAAAGCCAGACTCATTTGTGCCTTTGTACTCACTCTTTCCCTATCTAGAGCTTTTTCTTTCTTTTTTTCTTTCTTTTTTTTCTTTTTTGAAGATTTATTTATTTCTACATACAAGAACTGGGGTATAGGCTAGAGGCATGGGGGGGTGAGAGGATTCACCAGAGACAGAGTGGGGAGCAAAACAGGCAGATCTACTGAAATACACTGCTGAGGGGAGCAGCGGGTGAGACAGGAGAGGTCTGCTGTGCCATGTGGGTCAGCTCCCCAAATGTACCCATTTGCTTTATATTCAGTTTTGCACTTAAAGTGTGTTTGATGAAATAATGAATGATTATAGATAAGCATCTTTAACATTTCAAAACTTCAGCCTAAAGCAATGGTTCTCAAAGAAGAGAAGAATTTTGTTCAAAAAAAGGGGCACAAATTTAAAAAGTATGTTTATATATGCTTAGATTTACCTCTGTTAGCTGTGGATTAATGTTTAAGATGGGTTAAACTCAGATACCACTCAAAAATTTTGTTAGAATTATCTAAAAGAACATTGAAAAATGTTTTATAGATAGCTATTAGTATATTCTGCCACTGAAAGGGATGGAGATAATCATAGAAACTGCTCAGAAGACATTTGCCATTGGAGGATTTAAAGGAAAGAGGGTTATAAACCTACCCACTGGCCAGGAAAAATAGTTACTAGGCTAGAATTGACATCCTTATTTCTTTCTCATTGTTGCCCTCCATGTGATTATGATCACAGTGCTCTCTCATTTAAGTCCAGTTTTCCTTTTTGTGTTTAGCTTCAGTGGTCACTATTCAACAATGAAATTTGAGATTATGAATCTTCTGGACTGAGGAGCTGCTTTCCCTAAAGGTTTCATTCCAAGAGATGGGTTTTTCCAAAAGCCTCCCCAAATGATCAAGTGTCTTTTTTTTAATCTCATATATTCTAAGAATTAAAGATATAAAGTTTAATATCGCTGTTGTTTTCATGTCTAATATGCCCTATAGAAAGGAGTGCTATTTAAGGACAACACACAAAAAAGCTGTAGTTTTTATTTTTATTAGACTCTATTGGCAAGTCTTTTTTGACCTTTCAGTGACCCTAATATGAAATTTAAGCAAATTTGCTTTTTATATCCAACTACAGTATTCTTATTTTCTTTTCAGTAGCTCAGAGTGTTGGATGATAGCTTTAGATGTGACCCTTCTAGTCCATTAAATGTATTTCTCTAGAAATAATTGAATTGTAGCTCTATATCGTTAGTTTATTGTTTTATTAGATTTCACAAAACTATTTGAGCACTTCTGGATTTAAAATTAAGATAATTAGTGTTTCCTTTTTCTGTGAATAACAGCCCTAATCCTTCCTAAATGAAACTAAATGACTAATCAACCCCAAGCTTTTTTAAATAATTTTATAAACTCTATACTCCTGATTTTGTTTCCCAAAACTAAATAGGACAGTAGTTTAATAATTTTTGTTGGTTTGCTATTAAATTTGTTTTGGTTTCACATAGTTTTTGAAGCACTTATGTATTGCAGGCATCTTTTCAAAGCATGCATGTGTTTGCTATGCGTGCATGTATACCTACCCACACACGTGTAATACTTTGCAAAATATGCAATACTGTATATGTGGGCAATTTTGGCATAAATCCTTGTATAAATTCTAAGTGAAAGTTGAGATACAGGAGCTGAATGTTTGGTTTTGGAAGCTTATGTTGAGGTAGTTAATATTGGCTGTACAAGGTTACTACTCCTGTATGAAAACTTTTCACTAAGTATTAGTCTTCTATTTATATCTGTCTCCTTTGTGACTGTGAGGAGGGCGAGAGTTTCTGGCATTAGATAAGATTAGGGGAAACTCTATTGAAGAATTACCATTTGAGTTGGATTTTAAAAGAAAGGTAGAATTTCAGAAGGTAGGGAATTGTGGTGGTGGGCAGGGAGATATTACAAAGATAGACTAGCTTGGGCAAGAAAAAAGTGGGCATGTTTAGAGAACAGTGAGACCAGTTTGTCCAGAATATGTGACTGAAACAAAGAACTTTATAAGTAATACTAGAAAGATTTTAGAATTTTTTTGAACATGCTGTTTCTCTTATTTCATTTGAATCATTTATTTTGTGATTCTTAATTCTCTATTAGAATTAATATAATGATAAATTTGAGTTTAGCACATTGTAAATTCCTAATTGCTAGACCCAAATTAATGAGATCATTTATTCTTCTCTTTTTCATCTTTATTTTCCTCAACTCTTTGATAACACCAATGAGGAATCATGCCAAGTTACTTTTTTTTAATCTTAATAATTTTTACATTAAATGAAATATAATGTCCAGTATGTAAAATAGAAATGGCATGAAAATAATTAGACATGTAAGGGAAAGAAACATTTTCTTGTGTGCCATTATCAGTTCATTAGGATTCTCTAATAAAACCTAGTACTTTCTTAAAGCTTTTTAAAAACTTTTTTACTCAACGCTGTATTTTCCTGGTGTGTGTGGGAAAGGTGAACCCTTATCTGATTTTTTTAACCTGCAGTGCTCTTACTCAGCAATAGTTGTTCCCCCTTAAGACTCATTAGCTATTTTTTTAGTTATTTTTTGTTTGAGTCAGGATACACATTATATTGAAGTACTCAGGAGAATCTGTTGCCCTTAAATAGCACTCCTTTCTATAGGGCATATTAAACATGAAAACAACAGCGACATTAAACTTTATTTCTTTAATTCTTAGAATATATGAGATTAAAAAAAAGACATCCGATCATTTGGGGAGGCTTTTGGGAAAACCCATTTCTTGGAATGAAACCTTTAGGGAAAGCAGCTCATCAGTCCTGTATGATAGTAAATGAGGTCTGGAAAATATTTCCCAATCTAGGTGAATATTTGTCCACCAAGAATATAAAGACTTAACTAAAATGAAAATGGATTATGTTTATTTTCACTTTTGCTTTTTATCAGAGACACCCCCCCCCAAATCTAGCTTTATGGCATTTGTTAGAACTCCTTATTATTGAATCTATAATGTGCCTATCCCTCTTATATATTTGAAATTCATTATTATAAACTTTCTTATTTATTCTTTATGTAGGCTTTATGATTTTACAGCCAAGGAGAAACCCAGCCAGACTCGGTAAACTTGTCCAAGTTGCCACATTGCTATCTATTAACAAAGCTGGGGCCTAAGGTCTATGTCTGACTCCTAAACTTAAAGCAGTACTCCCATCCTGGTGCTAATGAGCATTCACAAAACTCCTTAGGTATGGAAAACACTACTGGGATTATACCTTTCCTCCTACTTGTATAGTATGAAGTCTTCCTCAGGACTGGGTGTCTTTGTAGAAGGGGGAAGAGAGGGGCAGTTGTCATTTTCTAATCTAATGAAGTTTAGCCAGTAAGTTTTGAATGGCAAATTACAAAATGTTTAAATATAAGACATTATTATTCGATATACTAATAGCTTAGAATGAGGAAAATCTGTTGGGGAGATAAAGAGTAAGTTTTAAAAATAAGCCTGACTTTCTTGTACTCTACCTGTGAGAAAGTTTTCGAGACAGTTTGACAGCTAGGTAAAGGAAATGAACAATCAAGAGCCAAAGTCGCTGTCACTCTTGTCATCCCCTCAATTTTTTTAAACATTAGTTTTAACTGGATTCAACTGATATGCTTTCATTTTGATTAAGAACATTATCATGTTCCAAAACAAACCCTGCCATTACCTCTAGTGTTATATTTTAATAGAGAGGAAGGCTAGGTGAAACAGCCACCACAACTGTGATGGTAACTTTGTGGACTGTTACCTATTCATGTCTCATCTCTAAGTTTTCTTTGTTCACTTAAATGGCTGGAGACTAGCAAAGAGATGGGAGGTGACAGCATTCTTGATCCTGTGTGGGCTGGGAGTGCAAAGCAATCAGAAATAACTGGATGAAAGAAATGAAGTTTGTTAATAGAGACCAGAACGTCAGAGAATTG